GGGCCAGGTCACAGTCCCTCAAACTATTGGAGGACCAGATTACAATTTGAAAAAAGCATGAATGAATTCCTATGCACACTGCACATATCTTATTTGTAGTGAGAAAAAAACCCACTTAAAAACAATACAATAATTAAAATGAAGAACAATTTTAACAAACATAAACGTATTAGTATTTCATTGGGAAGTGGGGGCCTGCTTTTGGCTGATGAGATAGGATTGTTGTTGCTGCTGTTGTTGCTGTTGTTGTGTGCTTTCAAGTCATTTCAGACTTAAGTTGACCCCAAGCAAGGGCCGGGTAAATGACCTTGGAGGGCCATATTCGGCCCTCGGGTCTTAGTTTGAGGACCCCTGTGGTAGATGGTATAGGAGTATAAAAACAAAGTTGAGAGATAGCTTTTATCCTAGAGCTGTGACTATATTGAATTCTGTCATTTCACACTGATGTGGCATTAGAAGTTGTGCAATAGAGATTAGTATGTGGAAGGATGGATGCTTTGTTTTGTAATTTGTACACATATAATGTGATTGGGTTTTGTTGTACAATGTAAATGACATTCAGTTTTGTTGTACAATGTAAATGACAATAAAGTTATTTTATTATATTTTATTTTTGTGTAAAGCACTTGAAGCATTTTCTGCAGAGTCCACTGTAAACACTGCACATTGTTGCTAACAGATTTCTGTAAATGTAATGGAGCATTCAGAAACTTTTTAACTATTGCCAGATTTTGGGGTTGGGGCCCACAGTTTAAGAAGCAGCAACATATAAGGCCCTTAGAGGCTTGTGTTGGGGGTAGGGGTGGGGGGAGGATTCCCTGTACAGAAATATAGAACTATTATTTCACTTTAATTATCATGTATTCCCTCCTATGGAAACTTGGGAATTTGCAGGTTAGGAAAGGGAATGCATAATGCCCTACCAGAGTATGCCAGTGCCTCACCAAACTGCAACCACCACTATAATTTTGTAGTGTTAATGCAGAAAATCCACATTATCTGATTTGAACTGGATTATTTTAGTCTACACTGCCATATAATCCACTTTAAAGTAGATAACGTGGATTTTATACAGCTGTATAGAAGGGCCTGAAATTCATGGGGCAGTTAATACAGGTCGTCACCTAGGTTTTGTGGGAGCTCTCCAAGGTGCTAATCCCTCTTCCTAAACTGGCTCATTTGCAGCTAGCAACCCTGGAAGGGATTTACTGCCAAAGCAACAATGTGGGTGCCAGCCTTTGCTGGGCATATTTTAAAGACACCAATCACTCTTTTTGTAACCCCAATAGTCATATTTATAGTTACATCTTACACTGTTTGAGTACTCCCTAAAAGTGAGGGGGGGGGGGCAGGATACATTTCACATGCTTGTAGATGTTAATGTTTTGAAGGCTGTATAACAGGATGGAAACCCTGCTGATGCTGTATTCCATATTCCCTTTCCGATTAAATTTAGCCCATTATGACGTATTTAAAAATCAGGTGCACCCAAATACTCATAAAAATGTGTATTCTACTTGATTCCTTTCATTTTCAGTGGCATTTGTCCTGCTTCTTTTGTAGCTTCATGGATAGTTAGCAACATATTTTGAAATGTTCAGAGAAAAATTAATATCTAGGATTTTACCCGCTTAATTTCAGTTTTTAAAATATAACACACACACACACACACAAACCCTAATGATTTCTATGTGATTGCATCCTATGTACAAGTTGGTCTTCCCTTTTCTGGAATTCCAAAAGTATTATCATTGGTAGCTGAGATAGTAGCACAAATTTTTTTTTTTAATATTGTGTTTGAAAATTACCTTCACGTTAAGTGTATAATAATGTGTCTATGAAACATCAATGGATTTTGTGTTTAGCCTTGGATACCATCTCATAATAATAATAATAATAATAATAATAATAATAATAATAATAATAATAATAATAATAGGATGTAGTGCCTAAAGACCTTGGCCAGCACTTCAAAGCAATCAATGCTGACAAAATTACCAACAGTCAGCTGCAAAAGGATCTGCATGCATTATGTTACACCAGCTCCACTGGCTGCCAGTACATCTTCGACCCAATTGAAAGTGCTGGTTTTGACCTATAAAGCTCTATACGGTTCTGGCCCAGCTTACTTGTCCGAACGCATCCACCCCCATGTCCTACCTCATAATCTAAAATCATCCGGGGAGGCCCTGCTCTCGCTCCCAACAACAGCACAAATGCATCTGGCTGGGATGAGAGACAGGGCCTTCTCAATGGTGGCTCCCCGCCTATGGAACAAACTTCCAACGGAGGTAAGATGGGCTCCCTCCCTCCTGGCTTTCCGAAAGAAATTAAAGGGATGGTTTTGGGACCAGGCTTTCGGACAATAGATGTAGCAGCGCTTTAGAGGGGCATGACTGGAACGATGATACGGCTGACGAGACTGTCTTATTGTTTTAATGATTGCTTATGTATTGTTTAATGATTGCTTATGTATTGATTTATGTCCAATTGTGATTTTGTTATTGTAATTGTCATGTAGCAGCCTCGTAACAGGGCACATTGTAAGCCGTCCTGAGTCCCCCTTCGGGGGTTGAGAAGTGACGGGATACAAATACGGGAAATAATAATAATAATGTGCCAATACATTACATAGTCCTAGACATTTCGGAACTGTCCAATGTGTGGTTCAATACAAAAGCCAGCATAGTGATCTTGTTTGTCGTGTACTAATCTTGTTGTGTATACGGTTCCGGCCCAGTGTATCTGTCCGAACGTATCTCCCTCTATGTCCCACCCCGGAGTCTGAGATCATCTGGGGAGGCCCTGCTCTCGACCCCACCACTGTCACAAGTGAGGCTGGTGGGGACGAGGAGCAGGGCTTTCTCAGTGGTGGCCCCCCACCTGTGGAACTCACTCCCGGGGGAGATCAGGGCATCATCATCCCTCCTCGCCTTCAGGAGGAGGGTGAAAACTTGGTTATGGGACCAGGCCTTTGGGCACTCTGGCAATTAAATCAGACAACCAGGCGAGTAAGACCAGCAGGATTGATGAAATTGGAATGTAAAACTAGATCTATGAGTAGCGAACGCTGACCAGGTAAGAGGAGAAACTGGGTTTGTATTTGGTTTTATGATTTTATTGATTTTATTGATTTTATGGTCATAATGCATGCATGTCAACTGTGAATTGTTGTAATTTTGTGTACGATTGTTTATGATGCAGGCATCAAATTGTGCCTTGTTTCTGTAAGCCACCCTGAGTCCCCTTCGGGGTGAGAAGGGCGGGGTAAAAGAACCCCAAATAAATAAATAAATAAATAAATATAATATCAAATAACAATAATAATTTTATTTCTTACCTGCCTCTCCTCATGGCTCGAGGCAAGTTACAGAATAATTAAAACACATAAACATTCCAAAGACACTACAGATACATGTATTAAAATATATTCCTATAAAAGCTACGTATTAAAATGTATCTCTATAAAATACATATTAAAATACACAAAATAGAGATTAAACAAAGGACACACATTTAAAATTAATGCTTAAGTACTGTCTGGGTAGACCTGCCAGAAGATATAGGCCTTTACATGGTTTTTAAATTATGACAGGTTATTTAGTCATCAGAGCGCTTCCAAGACACCTCATACAGTATATGAATATCTGAAAAAGAATAAGTCCAAAACTACTTCTGGGGTTCATCTATAGAATTAATACAGCTTGACACCACTTTTACTGCCCTGGCTCATGGGAGTTGTAGTTTTACAAGGTCTTCAGCCTTCTGTGCCAGGGTTCTGATGCTTGCCAAACTACATTTTTACATTTATTGAGAGCCATGTCCAATTCAGTAGATGTAAAAGGCTAAGAAAGGTTGTTGTTCTCATTATCTGGTTGTCTGGCTATGGGTTTCCTTCCTAGTTTGGTACAAGGTTGGGTTTCCTCATTCATCAGAAGTTGATGCACTATCTGATCTGCCTTTATATTGACATGTGCATTAGTTTGTGTATTGCATAATAGAGAACCTTCTTACAGTGACAACAGAGGCACTCAAAGTGGCTAGCTTCTGGTCAAACAAAATTTAGTATAATACCAAGTTTTTAATTTTGTTTGTGGTTTTTTATATATTACTAGCCGTCCCCTGCCACGCGTTACTGTGGCCCAGTCTGTGTATATGTATTTTGTGTGTGTATATATTTGTGTATATGTGTGGTTGCATGTATATATATGTGGGCTTGTGCATGCGTTGTAATGTAATTTTTGTTTTTTGGCTTTCTAAATCCCTTCTGCTGTGTTTTCCAGTGTTTTTATGAGTGATGGTCACTACCTGTTGGCCTGAGAGGTGTATCGTGTCCAAATTTGGTGTCAATTCCTCCAGTGGTTTTTGAGTTATGTTAATCCCACAAACAAACATTACATTTTTATTTATATAGATAAGTGTATTTTCAATTCCATAAATAAATACCAAACTACAACTTCCAGGAACCCAAAACAATCAGCCTAGGCAGTTAAAATAGGACCAAAATGCATGAATGCTACATTGTAGGACCCTTCCACAGAGCAGAATAAAAGCCCACATTATCCGCTTTGAAATGGAATATATGGCAGTTGTGGACTCAGGTAACCCAGGGCCCTTCCACACAGTGATATAACCCTGAATATCAAGGCAGAAAATCCCAGAATATCTGCTTTGAACTGGGCTATCAGAGTCCACACTGCCATATAACCCAGTTCAAACCAGATATTGTGGGGTTTTATTTAGCTGTGTGGAAGGGGCCCCAGATCAAAGCAGATATTGTGGGATTTGATAAGTCTGCGTGGAAGGGCCCTTAGATGCACTCTAGGTCCCATGCATTTCAGATGCAGGATTAGTTCTTGCCTCCGACAGAAACAGCCAGGATTAGTTCTTGCCTCCGACAGAAACCCGGAAATGTTGGTGGCGAACGAAGAAACTTTAACTCTTGGCGTTCCGTGAGAGAATGCTATTGCTTCCTCCTGCAGTGGAGCTGAGCTACGGAATCCGCGTTGAGTCAAGCTTCTCAGAGCGCAAGAGAAAATGGCTGCGCCCTTAGAAACATGCCATGTCGCTTGCTGTGCCAACCGCGCGGGGCCCGGCGTCGTGTCTTGGGGGAGCGGGGGGCTCGTGGCCTTCGGCTCCTGCCACTCAGTCGTGCTTTACGACCCGCAGGTGAGACCCTAGGCTTGGGCCGAGACTTTTGGCGGGTTTTTCCCCTGACTTGAGCATCCTCTCACAGGTTTGGACTGTGGGCTTTGAAGGCTAACAAAAGTACAGCTCAACAGGTGAAGCTCTTCCGCTTCTGCCTCTCTTGCTGCCCAGGGCCATGCTCTGTGGCAGAATAGTCGCAGCTCCATTTTTTCCCTAGCCATTGAGGAGCAACTACACATCCAGGACTTCGAAAAGTTACTTCTCTGGACTACAACTCCAAGTCCCCTTCCACACAGCTGTATAAGATCCACATTGAGCTGCAATATGTGGCAGTGTGGACTCTGGGCCCTTCTATACAACTATATAATCCAGAATATAAAGGCAGATAATTCACATTATCTGCTTTGAACTGGATTATCAGAGTCCACACTGCTGTATAATCCAGTTCAAAGCAGATAATGTGGATTTTACACAGCTGTGTGGAGAGGGCCTAAAATAACCCAATTCAAAGCAGATATTGTGAATTATCTGCCTTGATATTATGTGTTAAGTGGGTGTTTGGAAGGGCGCAAAGTGTGTCCACATTTCCAAGTTATTGCTGCTTGACAGCACTGTTAACTGCCACTTGTTCTCTCCTGGGAGTTGCAGTTTGGCAAGTCCCCAGCACTCTTCAGCAAGAAAAGCCATAGACCTTAAAAGGTAAAGGTTTTCCCCTGACATTAAGTCCAGTCATGTCTGACTCTGGGGTGTGGTGCTCATCTCCATTTCTAAGCCGAAGAGCCAGCGTTGTCCGTAGACACCTCCAAGGTCATGTGGATGGCATGACTGCATGGAGCGCCGTTACCTTCCCGCCGGAGCGGTACCTATTGATCTACTCACATTTGCAGGATTCCATAGGCAGAGCTACTTAACTTAAAGTGGCATCACAACTTTTCATATCCATATATGACGAGACTGTGAAAAATTAAAAAATTAAGAACTGGAAGTGAGAAATATGGATAGATTAAGTTATTTAATACAGAGATACAAAGGAATAACAGAAAACAAGACAGACTGGACATTAATAAATGAATATTTTAAGTAGAATAAAATAAATCAGGAAAGACGAATGAGAAACCCTACCTCATAAATCAAAGAAAGAAGAATGGAAAGGAAAAAAAAGAATGAAACTCAAGAAAGAAAGAAAAGGAAATCCTCGTCGAAGACACTGGGAAGTCAGACCGAAGGAAGAAAGGAACTTATGATCTTTGTTTCATAATGCTGTTAACACACGTTCTTTTCTGACTCAGACACACACTATCCTCCCCCTCCCCATCCCCCGTTCTTCTCCCTCTCCTCACAAGATACCTTTATTTTCTTTTCTTTTGCTATCCTATCTTTGAACATTTTAAAAGTATTTTTAATAGTATGTATGTAAAAATTGTTAATAAAAAAAAATTAAGAACGAGATGGAGAAAATATTAGGGATAAAAAAAAGTTGAACAAAAAAAAAATTCTTTACTCTGAAAATAGAAGGTAAAGGCTTTTAAACAGAGGCTGGATGACCATCTGTTGAGGCTGTTTAGTTGTGCTTTTCTTACCTGGCAGGGTGTTGGACTAGATGTGCCATATGGTGTCTTCCAACCCTATTATTCTATGATTCTTAGGCCCCTTCCACACAGCTGTATAAAATAATATAATAATAAAACTTTATTTATATACTGCCCTTTCTCCCCAGGGGGACTTAGGGTGGTTTCCAACAAAAGAAATTGGCAATGCCGCAATTAACTAAACAAAAACAAATAGACAATCAAACCAAAACCCAGGGTCCTACTACGCAGCCATATAACCCAGAAAATTCCGCAATATCTGCTTTAAACTGGGTTATCTAAGTCAGCACTGCCATATATTCCAGTTCAAAGCAGAAAATGTGGGATTTTATTCAGCTGTGTGCAAGGGCCCCTAGAAATAAATCCACATTGAACTGGATTATATGGCAATCTGGACTCAGGGTCCTTTCACACAGTCATATAACCCAGAATATCAAGGCAGATAATCCATCATATCTGCTTTGAACTGGGTTATCTGAGTCCATACTGCCATATAATCCAATGTGGATTTTATATTGCTGTGTGGAAGGGCCCTTTTGCCCCCCCCCCCCCCTTGATTGAGAATGTGTGAATCACCTACAGTTACCCAATGAGTTTGCATGGCAGAACAGAGAATTGAACCCTGCTCTCCAGAGTTGTAGTTCAAAACTCAGATCACTACCTCACACCAACTCCAGCTATTTAAAGCTATTGTTTGCAAAAATGATAAAACATTTGGTTTCAACAACATCTTTTAAAACTTCTCTGGAGAATGCCCCTTTTATCCTTAATGAGAAACTTGTTCCCCATTCTTGTTACAAATCTATTTCTGTGATATTTTTTCTCTTTCAGAAAAGAAAAGTAGTTGCTACACTGAATGGTCATACTGGAAGGGTTAATTGTGTACAATGGATTCAAAGACATGATGGATGTAAGTACAATTTGAATGTGCTTAAAACCAAGGTATATGTTTACATTACTTCCATTAAGCTGAATATGATCTGGAATTTTTCAAAAAGTAATAACATATTTTGTCTAGTGAAGTATTTTGGCTAATATTGTTAGATGTAAGAAGTACATGCTGGTAACAAGTCAGAAATTGGTTCACTCGATATTCTCTAGACATGTAGTCTAGTGAATAGTATTGTTTTTAGACTGAAAAGACATAGTCATATATACTTAGGAACACTCAACTCACAAGGTTGTTGCGAGGATTAAAGGATTTGAGAAATAGATGTTGTATAATGATCTAAGGACATTGAGGAAGTACGAGATAACACTGAGGTAATAATGTTAGAATTTAAATTCAAAAGCCGATTATCAATAATTTGTTGCAACCTACTTATATTATTATAATTATATTTATTTATACCCTGCTTTATCTCCCCAAAGTGGCTTGACATAAAAGCATTACTAAAATATACAAATAGACAAATATTAAAACAGAATTAAACACAAACAGCACTAAAACATTCAGTTAAAATCCATCAAAACATATTGAAAGTTAAAAACCACAGCACCCCTTGATGAGATCTTAAACACCCCCTGACTAGATCTTAAATCTTTAAAAGCCTGTCTGAACAAAAAGGTTTTAGCTTATCACCAGAAGGACAGCAGGGAGGCGACTGTTCCGACTTCCCTGGGCATGGAGTTCCAGAGTCGAGGGGCAGTCACCGAGAAGGTCCTCTCTCTTGTTCCCACCAGCTCAGCTTGAGATGGAAGTGGGACCGAGAGAAGGGTTTTTTATAGTGGATAAAGGATGTCTTCTCAATAAGGAAGTTCTTGAAGGTCTGAGGCCCCATCTACACCGCTGCTAATGCAGTTTGAGTCTACTTTCAATTACATTATATGTGTCTATACTGATAGGTTGGCGGTTTGAATCCGAGGAGTGGGATGAGCTCCCATCTGTCAGCTCCAGCTTCCCATGCAAGGGCATGAGAGAAGCCTCCCACAGGATGGTAAAACATCTGGGCCTCCCCTGGGTAACGTCCTTGCAGATGGACAATTCTCTCACACCAGAAGCGACTTGCAGTTTCTCAAGTCGCTCCTGACACAGAAAAAAATTGAATATATCATCTGAGTCTCAACCAATTCAACATAATTTGTGACAGCCACAAAATCGAAGTTTCTGAAGTATAATAACTACTTTCAAAATAAGCACCTCACAATTAAACAAGAAATAACACTTTCAAACTAGGAACATTTTTTCCAAAATGTTATGTAAATCAGGGTGTAGAAGTTATCTGTAGGGTTTACTCCTTTCTCTCCTGTTCCAACTTTTCATAGCAGGTTCTCATGCTTTACCAACAGAATTTGGGAAATTGGAAGCTTCTGGAACTTGTAGTTGAAAACATTTCCTTCCCCTAGTTCTGCTTATCAAAATATGCTTTCTTGGTACCCATTGTGTTCAGAGTGGGATTTTTTAATGTTACAGAAGCCTGTAAGAGAAGCCAGTCCAAATACAGTAGTTGCAAATTTGTTTTGAACTTTATGAATTTTTAAAGGTTTTCTTAGTTAAGGAATATTCAGATGTGATTTTGCCAGTTCCTTCCTTTGAAATATAGGCTACAGCCTATATACTGCCATTCATTGGTGGTCTGTCAGCCATGTACTAACCAGGGCTTGGTTGTGACTATTACAGCAAGAGTGCCCTCTGGTGGGCCTCTTCTGTATTTGAAATGCATTGCTGTTTTGTCCAAAGAGCTGTTGACAAATTGCTGACTAGTACTACAACTGACCTCATAACTTGTTACAGCATTTCTTTTGGTGCCGGTACATTTCCAGGCACAATTCAGAGTGCTGGTGATGACTTGTCAATATAACTTGGGTCCAGGCAATTTGAAGGACCACAGAGCTTTGTCTCTGGCTGCTCCCAGAATTTGGAACTCTTTCTCTACAGAGGTCAGAAGGCTCCATCCCTGTTTTAGTTACCAATCTTTGAGAAATCAAATGGAGTGGGCTTTTGATAATGTGCTGTGCAGTTTTATGTTTTACATACTCATTTAATGAATTTTAATGTTTTTTTAGTGATTTAACTTTATAACATTGATTTGCTTTTAATTAGCTTTTTAATATATGTAGTATAATTTTCAAGCCTCTAGACAAATTCTATATAGTATAGTTTTCAAACAATATTATTTTAAACATGTTATCTGAATCAAGACTCACTATTAGGAGAAAGTCAGGATAATAGTAGCAGCAGCAACAATAACAACAACAATAATAATAGGGGTCTAATTTCCCCCTTTTAAAGTCATTTTGAACATGATCTATTGGTAGTTTACAGTCAAGATTAGAAAAAAGAAATAGAGAAAAAGAAGAAACGAAGAAAAATGTGTAAATTCTGATTGTAAGGAAAAAGAAAAAAGTTCTATCATTACAGGTCACACCACATACCTACTAATATCCACAATCATAGTTTATTACATTGTTAGATTTCTTATTATTCTAAAAACCCATACACGATTTCCAGTCTTTGAAAAAAATCTTCAGTTGGTTTATCCTTTAGAACCCACATAATCTGGTTATAACTCAGCAGCCTTAACTATTCAGTCTTCCATCTTTGGTGCTTCAGTCCATTTCCAAGGTTGCTCACAATATTTGCCATATTTGCTCTCCAGTTCTTTTTATCTATAATACCCAACAAAAAGTTTTCTGGCACTATTACAAAACATATTTTACATTTTTTGGATTAATATGGATTATCAGTCATAGTTCTGCAACAGTCAGAACAGTTCTGCAACAGTCAGAACTGACCACGGAACAACAGACTGGTTCAAGATTGGGAAAGGCGTACGGCAGGATTGTATACTCTCATCCAACCTATTCAACTTGTATGCAGAACACATCATGCAATGTGCAGGGCTGGATGAATGCAAGGTTGGGGTAAAAACTGCTGGAAGAAACATTAACAACTTTAGATATGCAAATGACACCACTTTGATGGCCAAAAGCAAGGAGGAGCTGAGGAGCCTTCTAATCAAGGTGAAATAAAAACCCACAAAAACTGGGTTGCAGTTAAACATAAAAAAACCAAGATTATGGCAACAAGAATGATTGACAACTGGAAAATAGAGGGAGAAACCGTGGAGGCCGTGACAGACTTTGTATTTCTAGGTGCAAAGATTACTGCAGATGCAGACTGTAGCCAGGAAATCAGAAGACGCTTACTTCTTGGGAGGAGAGCAATGTCCAGTCTCGATAAAATAGTGAAGAGTAGAGACATCAGACTGACAACAAATATCCGCCTAGTCAAAGCCATGGTATTCCCTGTAGTCACCTACGGATGTGAGAGCTGGACCTTAGGGAAGGCTGAGCGAAGGAAGATCGATGCTTTTGAGCTGTGGTGTTGGAGGAAAGTGCTGAGAGTGCCTTGGACTGCGAGAAGATCCAACCTGTCCATCCTCCAGGAAATAAAGCCAGTCCATCCTCCAGGAAATAAAGCCCGACTGCTCACTGGAGGGAAAGATACTAGAGACAAAGTTGAAGTACTTTGGCCACATCATGAGGAGACAGGAAAGCCTAGAGAAGACAATTATGCTGGGGAAAGTGGAAGGCAAAAGGACCAAGGGCAAGATGGATGGATGGCATCCTTGAAGTGACTGGACTGACCTTGAGGGAGCTGGGGGTGGTAACGGCCGACAGGGAGCTCTGGCGTGGGCTGGTCCATGAGGTCACGAAGAGTCGGAGACGACTGAACGAATGAACAACAATACAACAACATCAGTCATAGACCAGTAACTTCCCCATTTCTTAAAAGTTCATCGCGCATGAAACAAGGAGCCCTCTTTATCTTTAGTTCCCTCAGGGAGATAGGGCAGGTTGTAAATAAAGCTGTTGTTGTTGTTGTTGTTATTGTTGTTGTTGTTGTTGTTATCTTGAAATCTCCAAACATTGGTTTGAAACATTCTTTGACATCTTATTTGGGGTTAGATATATCTTTTATATATCACAAACAGGTTTTCTTTCCTAATGTTTAATGGCTTAACTTTATAAATTATATAATTGCTTTTTAATTAACCTTTGTATTTGTGCCTTTATCAAAGATTTTGCATAGCTTTTAAGCTCTTATTATTGTAAAAATGTTGTTAGCTGTCTGAGAGTTCCGTTATTAGTAGAAAGAAAGAAGATAAATTAACCACAACAATAAAGTCTCTAATTGTTTTTTAATATAATGCCCCCAGAAACACTTTAAAAATCAACACGTCTTCTGCTGAATTGATTATTATATTTCATTTCTTAATGTGAATAGACATTGTGTTATTTACATAAATAGGATTATATGTATAAGATTTTTAGAATTTGTAAGTTTCCAGGTTTAATGACCATCTTCTGAAACACTTCAGCACAAAAGCTAAGGTTTTTCATTCTTTAATACTCCCTGTTCTGTCTTCCTCCCCAATTTCCACAACTATCCATTTTGTATTTTGCAATAGCGTGTCAGAAAGGCAAGTGCGGACATATGAATTTTTAGTACTGAGTAAAATGCAGTTCAGGGGCTACATGCGGCTTATCAAGGTTAACCCCACAAGTATTGTGAAATTCCAAATCCTAGAATAATCAGATGTCAGCATGGCAAATTGTACTCCTAGAAGCATTTGGGGCTACATTTTGGTCTCTAAATATAATATTGCCTCCTTTTTATTCTGAAATATCCAGAGGAAGAAGCTATGTTTCAAGAAGAAGTGATCACTAGAATAGTGTATCTTAGCTGATGTGGAGGCCAGCAGTTCTTTTTTCTCATTGCACTGGCAACATATTTGTGTCCATTGCCTATTGTTTTCTTCTTTCTTGGAAAATCAACAGGAATAAGCTGATATTTCATGGACTCATACCAAATCCTGGGATCATTACTTTGAGTTCAAGTGCTCTAGAGGCTCTGAGTGTGTGTTTTCTTATTTTTGGAACAAAATTTTGGCACAGAGAATTGGAAGAGGGAGCAGACCATGAGAGTACAGAAGAGGATTATATAATCCCCCCCACCCCTCGGACCTTCAAAAATTGCCATTTCTGGTTTATGGGAGATGTTTGTTTTGTTTTTTAAAAAAGTATGAGACAGAAATAGGTAAAAATGTCCACCTCCCTGATTAATGTTTTGGGTCATGATGAAATAATATCGTTGTGCAAAATTTTGTAATGTTTTTACATTAATGTTACACAGTGTGCTCTATTCTCATTAACACAAAAACATCGTCATGTATACACAATTTTAATGCATTATTTCAAGCTCTAGTTGTCTAATACTCATTTAGATAGCAGTATGGAATCGAATCTGTACATTCTCTCCTTTGGGAACTGATGTACTGTAGGGAAAAAATGAAAACCAGTATGATGTAATTACAATAGAAGGATATAGGAAAGTGTCTTATATTCATAGATCTGTCTAGTCTGGTAATGCCATGGTTTTGCAAGTAGGAGAATGTCCTAGATGTATTTGTAGGTCCTTGGTAAACAGGCTTGAGCCTACTGAGCTTTTGTAATCAGACAAGATCGGGTATTTTCATGGTGATATATAAAAAGATAGCAAGTAAGCAGGTTGTTGTCATTTGAGAATCTTTTGAGTACAAATTGTTCAGTATCTTTATTTTCCCCATTTGTTATAGCTTTTCCAAGGGAATTGATTTCTGGAGCATCAGACAAACATCTTATTATTTGGGAATTACAAAATGAGAAGGTATGTAGAGACACTATAACTTGTAAAGAAAGAAAGAACTCTTGCATTAATTTTTTTAAAAGAAAAAAGAGAGAACAAATAGAAACAAGAACAGCTTGTTCTTCTCAACCGAATAAAGCCTCCTCTATTCAGATCTACAGTGGGTCTCTGTTATATGAAACAATCCTGTCATTGAAAACAGTAGCTGCATGTTATCTGTAGTTCAACCTCAATGAGTGTCACTGTGAACATGAAACATATTTTTGTAACACATACATTGGATATGCTATCAGTATGCTAGGAAGGCATCCCTAAATATACTTAGTAGATTAAATATAGCTATAACCTACTGAGTTATTCCAAATTTGTATATTTGTGCACTAGTGTGTGTGTGTGTGTATACACACACACACATGCACACACATATAAGAATAAATGTTATAATAATTATTTAATTAAAATTACACATTTCATCTTAAATTACATCCCTGTAAAGCAATGCATTGCTCACTTTGTTGAAGCACAGAGTTGCAAACCTTATACAAAGTTATTCTTATAATTTTTTTCATACTTCTCTACTGTTGGAGTCATTAATTCTGTTAAAGGTGTATACTTTTTTTTTAAATCAAAATTATAAAGGTGTATAAGCATTTTAGGGACACCCTATGGAAAGATAGGCAATCATTGGAAAAAGTTACTTTTTGAATTGCAATTCCAGAATGCTATTGCTAGCTTGTTGCTTGTGACTGAGTCTTCTGGATCGGAGGAAGAAGAGGTGAGGTAACTAGTAGGCAAGCCCAGGAGCTGAGTGATCATCTCCTATACAAAAAAAAAATATGAGATGATTTGTAAAATGTATAAGGATTTTCCCCCAGATAATTTCACTAGATATTATTTTGATTTGCATAGTTGTCTGACCGCCCAACTCTTACCACTTCCCATTTTAATTGAGTGATTGCCTGCTCTTCTGTTGTCTTGTTCTGATAATAATCAAACGTTAATTCCTAATGCATTTACTGTCTTGTGCATAATTAACATATACTAATGTATACTTACCCTCTCTTTCTATAGCCAAATATCTCCCATTTTCTTTTTTAACAATGCCATTTTGTAGTTGTTCTGGACTAATGAATTAGTTCTACAGAAGCTAAGGATTCATAAGGTCATCCACTGGAAAACAGTGACTTTACAAAACGGCTTGATGGAATTCATATCAATGCATCTTTTGGTTAGATCACCTTTTGATCAAATAAATATTTCAGCGACATTCAGCCTCAGTTGTTTTCCTCCAGTGTGTAATGGAGAGTTTTTTGGAACATTTTTTTCCTATGAAGAAAAAAAAAAACTTTGGGACAATCTTTTATAGTGTTTTTAGCAAATAAATAGCACATGTTTAATATTCCTACACACGTCCTTTTTGCTATATGTCCACATGAGCCTTTCTTTGGCCTAGAATAGAACTAGGGAATGTCTGAAGCTGCCATTTGCTGTTATCAGCACCAGGTTATGGTGAATGATGATTGGAATTGCAGGTCAATAGAAAGGTCTCATGACACCCCCCCCCCCTGCATTACAAGAATGGAAGCACTGCCATAGTTTTAATCTGCCTTGCTTAGGTAAACGTGTATGCAAATGCAAAGCATTGCTTGTGTATACACAGTCTACTTGGGATGTTTGCTCACAGAAGACAGAAAGAATGGCACTTTATCAATTTCTTGACCATCAGTGTAATTGTGAAGGAGAATTGTGACTTGCATACAAAACAGCGCTCCAGTGTCTTCCTCCCCCTTTCTCTGAGCAAATCTGATGCTGGAGGAAGAAGCAGTGTTCTGGCAATAAAGACAAATTCCTCTTCGATGAGGTACCTGATTTCTTGGAACAAATATGCTGAAAAGCTGAACCCTAAGGAGAAGCTATAGCGGGGTGAAGTGAGAATTGTGCCCCTTGTTCCCGAAGGCTGAGTTTGCAACTGAACAGACAATGGTTGCAATGTATTTCACATCCTTACCCTGAAAGTGTTGTTAACTGATGGAACATAAAGCTAAATAATGTTTGCATACTTTTAAAGAGGATGCTAGGCTTTTTTTTCTAAAATGGAATGCTTTAACTAAATGGAATTAAGAAGGCTTAATGGAGGAAGGATACAGTATTATCATGTGCAGCATAGGAGGATAAATAACAGTATTTCTCAGACAAAAGGATTGTTTGGTGAAAATTCTGGTGTATTTTCTGATTACATGGATACCAATGTATTGTAGGGTATATAATGTCATGTTATGCCATTGGCTGGATCTATACTGCACCATATTCCAGGATCTGATCCCAGATTATCTGCTTTGAACTGGATTATATGAGTCTCCACTGCCACATAATCTGGGATAAGCAGATAACCTGGGATCAGATCCTGGGATATAGTTCATTGTAGATCCAGTCATAGTGTCTAGACGCCCAGGACTAAAAAACATATTTTTGAGGTGGGATGTTTGTTTTAAGTATCTGTCTCCTCCTTCTCGTCTTCTTCCTCATCTTCTTTCTCCCTCTTCTTCTTCCTCCTTCCTCTTCACAGATGGAGTGGATTGCATTGTATAAAATACAATCCATGGCATCTGTGCCTTTAAAAATTGTGACTCCTTCGAAATCAGGAAACAGATATCCCAAAACAAAGCTGTTTTTTTTGTTTATTTGCAAGAATCTTTTACATGAATCTTTTCTACTTCAGTAGAAAAATAGTTTTGATGAAGGCAGAGTCACCCTGCTTTGATACTGCAGTGGTCCTTGGAAGAAGATATGCCACTTGTGGTACATGATCTGGTGGATTCCTTTTCCAGTGCCCTACTGCAGAAGAGACAGTAGATCTTGTAAAGCTCTATACGGTTCTGGCCCAGCTTATTTGTCCGAACGCATGCACCCCTATACCACACCTTGTAATCTAAGATCATCCGGGGAGGCCCTGCTCTCGATCCCGTCAACAGCACAGATGCGTCTGGCAGGGACGAGAGACAGGGCCTTCTCGGCTGTGGCCCCCTGCCTATGGAACACACTCCCAAATGAGGTAAGATCCACTCCCTCCCTCCTGGCTTTTAGAAAAAAAAATCATAGTTTTGGGACCAGGCCTTCAGGCAGTAGAAGTAAATGTATGCAGCATTTCAGAAAGACAATGACTGGAACGGCGATTCGATGGACGAGACTGTTTTATTGTTTTAATGATTGTTTTATTGCCTGTGGATGTATTGTTTTTAACTTGATTTATGTCTAATTGTAGTGTATAATTGTAATTGTTTGTACTGGCATTGAATTTTGCCATTACTTATGTGTAAACCGCTTTGAGTCCCCCTTAGGGTGAGAAAAGCAGTGTACAAATATTTGTAAATAATAAATAAATACAGTAGATGCTTATTCAGAAAGTCAGGCTGGGTGCATAATTCAGAAGAATTACTGCATCCTGTTCGGGTAGGATGCATCCTATCTTTTATGGAAGAGTGAAAGCTTTTGACAGAATGTTTGTTGAAACACAAAATGTTGTGTTCCTTCCAAGTACCCAGAGCCAAAAAACATTAAGTGGAAAGATATGAAAACTCAGATAACAGAACCCCCCCCCCCCCACAAAAAAACCCAACAACAACAACAACCCTATACTTGTAGCCTGTGGGGTTTTTATTGCTTGACCACTATGAATGTTAGCATCTTCCTAATGAATGAAATGAAAAAAATGTTCTAAAGCATGAACACAAGGAGAAGGGATCTCGAAATCACACATTGCAATAAGAAAACTCATTTTTTCTTGTAAGGCTGAAATATCTGAATATTTACATCCTTAATGCAAGTGGCTGAAACTTGGAGCCTCTATTTTAGGTCTTCCAGGTTGATTAAACAAAACAGCCAAACAAAGAAACCTAATTAAAAGTTTTGAGCAACTCTAATGCCTATCTGATTTGATGAGAATAAATCACTGTTTGCTATTAATCTGTATTCTTCTTCCACCCTTATTCTATCTCAAGGGTTTTCATTTAATAGTCTTTGTGTTCAGTTTACCTGAATCCTTTTTAATATGTGGCATTTACCAGAAACCATTCATGTATATTGAAAATGGATAAGAATAACAATAATACTGTTTTTGTGAACTGAATGGAATTCTAGTTTTTAGCCAGACACAAACTAACACATATAATGAATGGAATGTATCGCCAAAGGCTTTCATGGCAGGAATCACTGGGTTGTTGTAGGTTTTCTTCGGGGTATATGGCCATTTTCTAGAGGCATTCTCTCTTTTCAGGAGAGAATTCCTCTAGAACATAGCCATATAGCCCAAAAAAAACCCTACAACAACCCAATGAATGGAATGTTACACAGAGTATGTGCTTCTAATGGAACCTGAAAAAATGGCACACCATAATTGGCCTGCTTATCCTCTCCATTTAAGCTTTACTATTGCTTTTAAAAAAAGGTTTCTTAGCATCCAGTCATTTCTATGGTTGGATAGTTCTAAAAACCCTGTATTTTGCATAGCAGTTTTGAATTTGACAATTGCTGTCATTCCTTAATGCAGTTTTATAACCTTTTGTTTAGCTTGTGAAGTGCACTCATCTTGAAGGTCACACCGAAGCAGTGTGTGCTTTGGATGCTGTTTACATGACAAATGGCTCTATAGCAGAGTTAGCTTTACTCATAGCTTCTGCAGCATCGGACTCAACAGTTAGAATTTGGTCTAAACAAGGAAAAGAAGGTAAGCTTCCAGACTTTGCTTTATAACAAAGTAGGTATCAGAAATGTTATTTGTATTCCTTATAGCAAGATATTGGTGCAAATAATAATAATGAAGATAATGTTTGATAGATTTTATTTTTTATGCACCTCTCCTCACAGCTTGAGGCAGGGTACGACGTGGTTAAAACAAACAGATAAAATATAATACTATTAATATATATATTAAAATACACATAACAAAAAATGACACTAATCCTCATATAATACAGGTTTTAAATTCACAGCTTAAAATTGGATCTGCTGGAAGAGATAGATCTCCAGTTGGTTTTGAATTTTGATAGCTGCTTTCAGTTTTCCCCTTCATTGTTTACTCCCATATACAGGCTGCCTCTTTCACAGATAACTCACAAATGGGTGAACTATGGGCAAACAAAGGGATATGCAATTATAGTTGTTTTTTGTACAGGCCATCCCCAAGTTACAAACAAGATAGGATATATAGGTTTGTTCGTCAGATGATGTTGAAGTCATACACACATACACACACACACTGGGTAGCATAGAGAAGGGCTAACACCCTTGTGGTGTTTGGCTGTTTGTGTCCCTGTTCATAAGATTTCACATCACTTTCTATCCCTGTAAGAATTGGATTTTGAAAAAATTAGCTTGTTGTCCAAAAAGGGTTAGTGATAAAACTTCAGTGGAGACACAATTTCCCCATGATAACAGCTCTTTCAGGAGTGAATTTCCTTTCCAGGAGGTAGATTTCTCTCACTTCCTGTTGTCTCACCCCTGTTCTTCACCATGAGTTGTTTGAAAGTTGGATGTTTGTAACTCGGACTGCCTGAATATTGGGATAGGATTTTAGCTTTAGAGAGACAAATCCCTATCCCAACCTTTTTAACCCCCTAAAATGATATAAACTCAAAGACCTGAATAAGGTAAGATTATTCCAACAATTACTTCCTGCTCTATATGAGTTTCTCCCTCACTTATAGGTTCAAATTTATCTCCCCCTCTGTGTGCCCTCCTACTGCTATTGAGCTTTTTCCTTTAAGCAGATTGTTAATGTCTAATATGTTATTATTTGATTTATAATTTATTTCTTTTTTGGTCACACTTTACAGCATTGAATGTTTGCCACTGTATGTTAACAGCCTTTAGTCTCCATTGGGACTAAAGGCAGGATAGAAATAGAGTTTTTATTTATTATAGAGAAGGGAGATTGATTAGGATTTTGGGGTGAGTGCCTTCTTTAGACTCATGCAGTCATGGAGTTGAGAAAGACCACAACGGCCATCTAGTCTAACACCAGGATTTCTTACACTTTTTCTACTCATTACATCTTTTGCCCAAAATGTTAAATGTGACCCTAGATGTATAGATATAGAAATCAAGCATACTGATAATAAAACATAAAGAAATTAATTTTAAAACAATCCTTGGAGTATACGTATAATTTTATCATTTATTAAAGATAAAAAGCAAATTTGCATCCTGAGGTGGATGTGTTTATTTAATTCTCCATAAAGAATTATATCTTGGCTGAATATTTGATACTGCAGGATGTACCAGGCATGGAAAAACTTCAGCCCTCCAGGTGTTTAGGACTTCAACTCCCACAATTCCTAACAGCTAGTAAGTTGGCTGAGATTTCTGGGAGTTGAAGTCCAAAATACCTGGAGGGCCAAAGTTTGCCCATTTTTACACCATGCTGTCATTCTTGGTTTGCAGCCTCAAGTGGCAGAATATACTCCGTTGGGTCTCTTTTTTGTCTCCTAGATTCATGTAAATGTCTAAAACAGCCACTAGTTGGCAAGCTGTCTGGATTTTTGTTGACTGCGATATGCTTGTTTTTAGAGCAGTCATTAGTGATCTGTTTGGCAAAGCTCTAAGACTTGCTTAAATGCTATTTTTCTTTTAAAATTGTTTATTGTTACTTTTTTTGTAAGCTGCCTTGGTATCTGTCATGACGCATGACTGGCATCTATGTTGGCATTTAGGCATCAGAGCTTGAGAACTGCTTTTATAAGGATCACAAACTGTTGCAAGTATTCTTCAAGTTCGTGATCTGGCAACTGATCAAATACACCATACAATTTGAATACTCTGATTTTTGAGAAGTCAGTAGGGTTAGCTATATTTTGTTCAGGGCGTGGATGTTTTCATCTGGGGTGGATGGTGCCCTCTAGATACTTTGGAGTATGGGTTGTTATGAGTTTTTTTTCAGGCTATATGGCCATGTTCCAGTAGCTTTCTCTCCTGATGTTTCACCTGCATCTATGGCTGGCATCTTCAGAGGTCAAATGGGGTGTATATATATCTGTAGAATGTCCAGGGTGGGAGAAATAACCCTTGTCTGTTTGAAGCAAGTGTAAATGTTGCAGTTAGCAAGCTTGATTAGCATTGAGTAACTGTCGCAACCTTGCACAGCGACTCTCAGTATAAACAGTCACTCACTATCCTCGTCGTCAGTCAATCTGGAGTCAAAGCCAAAGTAGATTCAAACAACAAACTAGACAGGGACAATCCAGGAAGCATAGTCAATAGTCCAATCCAAAAGTCCTCACCAACACATTCAAATAATACATAATCCAAAGTCAAGGTCTAACACTAACAATAAGGCACACAAAGTCATCCAACAAAGCTGTAACAGATTCCAAACAGATTGCTCCCATCAAAGACCAAATCCAAACTGCTACTCTTTATGTTCCATAGCACAAGTGCTGTCACCTGTTGTCCCTTCTCTGTGCCAACCAGGCGGATCTACGCAGCTGAATAGCATGAGTCCTCAGTTGCAGTCTTTCTGGGATACTTAACTCTACCTCATTGCTCTCTTGATCCTGAGTTAACTCAGGACTGCCTCTTGCCTGAGGCACTTGGTCGGTGCAGGGGTAGCTTCCTCAGTGTCAGGCTGCAGCTGTTGCTCCCTGCTTTCCACTGACTCAGATGCTGGGCCTGGCAGCCCTACATCTTTAATAAATAATAATAATAAACTTTATTTGTTACCCCGCCACCATCTCTCCAATGGGCACTCAGAGCGGCTTACATGAGGCCAAGCCCAAATGACAATTACAATAAAGAAAAACCAAAAACACAAACCGAAAACGCGAACAATAAACAATAACATTATAGCTATATAACACACATGAATACATAACAATATGAAAAATAAAGAATATGCACAGGCACAATAATAATGGGCGGGCAACATGTAGTAATCAAAAGGACAAACTGATTAAAACTAATTAAAAAGTCGGGCAAGGTAAAAGAGGGAAGCAGGTAATTTACGGAGGAGGGCTCATTCCAGCGGGAGTTGTGGAAGCAAGCTTTCCCATGAGGGGGGACGTATACTCCAATGACAGAACTTTGAGGCAGAGCCAGCTTTGTCTGTATTGCAGATCCTGATAGTAACCTTGTAACTGCAAAGTCAATCAGTGAGGGTATTTACATAGAGGTAGCTTGGCTGTTTTGCCTGGGCATCCTTTGTTTGGCAGGTGTTAACTGGCACTTGATTGTTTGCTGTCTGGAATTCCCCTGATTCTGAGTGGTGTTCTTCAATTACTGTCTTGATTCTGGTGTTTTTAAATACTGGTAACCAGATTTTGTTCCTTTCTGTTGGAGTGTAATTTTCACATCCCTTGGCAATATCGAAGCTGGTTCAAAAATCTAAGAGAACACGGGGTTCCTTTCCCTCACGTGTAGTATAGTACCACACCCCCAGTGGCGTAGTAGGTTAAATACCTGTGCCGGCAGGACTGAAGACTGACAGGTCGCAGGTTTGAATCCGGGGAGAGCCGGATGAGCTCCCTCTATCAGCTTCAGCTCCTCATGCGGGGACATGAGAGAAGACTCCCACAAAGATGGTAAAACATCAAAAAACATCAGGGCGTCCCCTGGGCAACGTCCTTGCAGACGGCCAGTTCTCTCACACCAGAAGTGACTTGCAGTTTCTCAAGTCGCTCCTGGCATGACCAAAAAGAAAAAAAGAAAGAAAAAAAGAAGCTATATCTGTTAAATGTGCTTGGTATCTAGCTACATTTCCTAGCACTGAGTGGATAGTAATAAGGGGAAAAGAGAAATTCCTCAATGACCAAGGTCAGTGTGAGTCTGAAAAGAAGGATATATCCACTGTAATACTTCCTTTTGAGCTTTTGTCGATCTAAATCAGTGTCTCTATTGTTGTAGTTCTTTGTTATGAATAATCCTTTAAATGAAACTTGGTGGGTATTTGTTGCATTGTAACTATTGACTCCATTGACACTCTCAAATAGACAAAACTATTTTGCCTTCTCTTTCTTAGTTCAATGTCTTCAGAAACTTCTCTTTGGAAATGGGTTTGCAATGGATGTTTCTTTGTCCTTCTTGCCTGGCAGCAATAGTAAGTGTATTTTCATAATCTTTTAGTTGTTTGAAGCAATAATCAATAACGTCTCAGTACTGTCAATGGATGATAGCCCCATTCAAAATTGGATCAAGGTTTCCAGGGCTGCTATGAAAATTACAGTACTGCAGTCGTAATGTCTAATCCTGCGAATGCCACAATAGACAGCAACCATTTTAATATTTCCACAACAATATAATTTAACTAAAATGTTGCTCCATATTGGTGTAATTTAAAATTCAGTCGGATTGAATCTCTGAGAAGTTTTGTAGGAGTTCTGAGTTTTGGTGGTTCTATTTAACAACTTGTTTGCATGTTTATTCATTCTTCATTTTATATCTCAGGGTAGTGTACAGTAAAATATTAGAAAAAAACATAAAATAATATCAATAATATAGAAATACTAAATGCACATTAAGTCACTTGTCTCTTAAAATAAGACTAGTTAAAATCAGTTAAAACAATTTAGATTGGTTTCAAATGGTAATTCAACCATAGTACATGTGCAAATTGGATACATCCAGTTCAGACAAAAACGCTTTAATAAGCAGGCATGTTTTAGATGACACCAGCATTGGTGTCATTTGGGTCTATCCCATATCTCCCCACAGTGTGGGATTTAGAGGAAGCCCTTTCCAACAGACTTCATGTCTCATGCAGGCGTTTATAGGGAGAGGCATTCCAAGTATTAAGTTCCCATGCTATTTAGGCTTTTACATTTTATCACTAACACCTTGAATTGAGACTGGCAATGTACTGGTAGCTAGGGCAAGTACCTTAAAACTAGTAATATACGGTATGATGTTCCTGCTCCAGTCGGCAGTCTAGCTGCTGCATTTTGTGCTTGCTGCAGCTTTTAAGTTGTGATCAAATGCAGTGCCATGTAGAGACATTGCAGTCTAGTTTAGAAGTTGTCAGTGAATGAACTACTGTGGCTAAGTTATAAACCTGCATGGGTCTATTCAGAGTTGGTCTTTACTGCATAGCAGTAGGTGTTACTTCCTGGAAAATGTATGGGGGGGGGGGGTTACAGATGTATTTCGCTATGCTTTTCTTCTTAGAAGCAAGTTCTGTTGAGGCAAATTCCAGATGAGTGTGTGTAAAAATTAAACTTTTTTTTGGTCCTATAATTTATTTGCTTTTCTAGTTTTTAAGAAGATGATCTTGACATAGCAATTTTTTCAACAATTATTTTGTTTTTGCAGTACCAGTTCTAGCTTGTGGTGGAGATGACTGTAAAATTCATCTATATGTACAACAAGCTGAACAGGTAACCGTTGCTTCTGTCTTTAGTCCCACAAATGGCATGGCATGCTTGATATTCAGTTTAGTTTTAGTCAGAGATCATAATCTACACAAGCGCATAATTATCAGGTGCTACCTTTGATGATCTGAAAATAGAAGCAGAATACTTTGAGATAAGTGCCCTTTTAGATATTTGGGTACCAAGCTATTTAAAACCCCATCTACACTATCATATAATCCAGATTATCAAAGTAGATAGCCCATATTATCTGCTTTGAAATGGATTATATGAGTCTACATTGCTATATGATCCAAAGCAGATAATATGAATTTTATATGGCTGTGTAGATATGGCCTTAGAGCAATCTGCCCCGAATTCCCATGGGGAGAGGGTATAAATAAAGTTGACGTGACTAATCTCAATACATCAATGTAGAATATAGAAATATAGGTTGAATTTTCCTTATCCAGAAATTTTGTGACCAGATTTTGGAATACTTGTACAGTATTTTCATATAAATAGTGAATTAGAGATGAGGTGGGGGGGGGGCGCTAGTGAGGGATGATGGCTAGTCACATGTCTAATGCCTACTGTGGTCCCTTCTATATTGCCATATAATCTGGATTATCAAAGCAGATAATCCACCTCTTGCACTGACTCTCAGCACACTTTCCTTCCTTTTAGCAAAATAGCCAGGAAGGGCTTGGAAAATCTGTCTTCTCCTGTCCCTTGGGGTCACTCCACCCTTGCCCTCATGGCCTGTTTGCAGTGCAGCTGTCCTGCCATGTACTACCATTGGCAAGTTCTTCTCCCTGGTCCTTTTTTCTATCTGTCATCAGGGTTCATTAAAGCAAAACTCATGTCGGTCATGCAACTAGCCCTCTTTCCCCAAATATAGAAGTGGTTGGCTCATGGCAGAATATTTCAGTATAAGAGGAAATGGGAGAATTGTTAACTAGAGTTAAGTTTTAGGGGACTGAGTGGGTTAAGTGGACAGGGAGATTTTGATAATATGTAATATGGATGGTTGTACTGGGCCAAAAGGAGGGTGTTGCAAAGAGATCCTGAAGAGATATCTGGACAGGGACGAGTAGATGCTACTCAGTCATTCCTCCCTCGGGATGAGAGAGGGAAAGGTAAGCTGCATGGAGAGGGAAGGGGACAGATATGGGAAGAAATGATGTAAAGACCAATAAGAGTTTACTAAATAATTATATATACACTGGTGGTTGTTTTATATATTATGTCAGGCAACATTAATGGTTTATGGTCTCCAGTTAAAAGAAATAAGCTGTGCAAGATGTTAAAGGACAATCAGGTGAATATAGCATTATTACAGAAGGCACACAAAAAGAAGAATAAATCCAAACTGGTGCACATCAATAATTGGGAAAAAGCTAAAATCTAGAGGTACAAATAAATCCAGAGGGGTAGCCATAGTCTCAGTTTAGAAATAGACAAAGTAATAAAGGATACTGAAGGGAGATTTGTAATGATAAGAGGGCAAATAAACAATATCCAGGTATCAATAATTAGCGTTTATGTCCCTGATCGGAATCAAGTAAGATTTATTAGCAAAACAAAAGAATAGAAAAGCAGGCTGTGGGGGACTTATCAGAAGTTAATAACAGGTTAGGAGAAAGAGTTGACCCCCCCTACATATTACTCTTCCATATACAACAAAACACCACAATAGATTATTTTTGGTAGGGAACAATAACTTATTGCCTATACAAAACTCAACATTGGGTAATCATTGGCCAGGGGACCAGGCACCCTTATTTCTAAAACGTTTCAGTTTTTGGAGTGTTTCGGTTTTTGGGTTTCTTGATACGGGAAACTCAATATGCACTGATTTTCATTCTACCTCATCTTGCTTATTGCAGTTTCAAAAAACTTTGGTACTTCATGGCCATGAAGACTGGATAAGAGGAGTCGAATGGACAGTTAATGGTAAGTACTAAAGATACAGTTCCTAACTTAATGTGAGGAGCTGATCAAGATCTCAGGAAAAAGACAATTTTTTATCCTACTTGCATATTAGCAGGAACAGGATTTTGGATGGCGTGACGAAAGAAGAGAAGTACTTGATAATGAGATCTCTACTTTTTGACATTATAGTGAGATATTTCTCATTAGAATTCTGCTCACTTTAATTTTGTACTTTACAGTTTGAAGATATCATTAAGGTGAGGTAAGGTAAAATGATTTTAGAGTATACCCTCAGATAATAATGAGCACATGTTCTATTTCTGATAATTCTTTTAGTTTAGAGTATAGAAGAGCTTGATACGGGAAACTCTTTTTTCTATAATAAAGATGCCTGTCCCACACTTTCTAGAGTTCACATTTTGTTGCTATATAGTATATACAGACTAACAAACAGCCAGATAACACAGCCTTCTAGTACAAATGCTTTGTATAGGAGAATTAAATTCTGTGAAGAGCATGACATCTACAGTCAAAAATTAATTAGATTTAAAACACAGTATCATACAGAACAGATTTTACTTGTGCTGTAAGTACCTTGTGCTGAAAATTAAGATTTTTAGTTGAAAAAATATAAATGTTCTCTGTGTAAATTACTTATGTGAATATTTTATTTTATTTTGTATAATCTGAGACTTGTGGGAAAGATGTGATGGAAGCCCTGCCCACAACTACTAAAAATCCCTTTAATTTCCTCTTTGGTTTCTGAAATTCAGCAGAAATCACTATTCCCCATTGATGATTCAGTTTCAAGGTATATTTTGGAATCATGATGCTTAGGCACTTCTTTTATAAAATGATGCCTGAGATTCTGGGAAAACTGAAGTACAGACAGCCCCCAAGATACAAACAAGTCAGGTTCTGTAGGTTTGTTCTTAAGTTGAATGTGTATGTAAGTTGGAACAGGTACATATTTTAATTGTAGCTCCAGACATAGCATTGATGTGGTAGCAGGGGGGCACCTGGCCAGGTCCGCTCGGGTGCCCCCTTCCTGCGGGTTGAGCATATTCCCCCCTCCCCTGGTCCCTCTCTTTCCCCAATGACCAAGCCCCACTCGCCTCTATCAGAAAATAGCAAAGACTTGGAACAGCTACTGGAGAAATTCAAGGAAGAAAGTATAAAGTCAGGTTTCAGTTCATTTGAAATGTGGTGCTGGAGAAGAGTTATCATTGTCTTCTAAAATGACAAATAAATGGGTCCTAGAACAAATTGAGCCGGATGATGAAACCGGGACTGCCATACTTTGGACATGGCATGAATGAAGAAGGATGCATTCCAGATGGATAGACTCAATCACGGAATACATGGCCTTGTGTCTGCAAGATGTGAATAGAGCTGTGAATTTGATGGCAGTTAACAACAAGAAGATGACTGATTAAAGGCATGAGATAAAAGAGACAGTGAACAGCTGAACAGTGAATAGTGAGGAGTGTAAACAGTGAAGGTCCTTTAAGGATCTGTGTTGAGGATGAATGCTTTTAAACATGTTTCAGAATCAATTGAAAGGCATACTTTTTCACATGTTATATAGTAAACGTGTAGATTTTTTTTGTAGGATGTCATAATGGTCTCCATCCTAGACACCTTATTCTCAATAAGGACATTCAGGAAAAAAAATCATTAAGGTTATATATCACTATAGTATTTTAATGAGGGGCTAGTAGTCAGGTTGTCTTTTGACTGTGTTGTGTTTCAAGGGTTCTCCAAGGCATCTGGTTGGCCCCTGTTTGAACAGAATGGTGGGCTAGATTGGCTTATGGTCTGGTTCAGGAGGGCCTTTCGTACGTACTTACTATAGAGGTGCCTTGATGGCTTCGTCCTTCCACTCAGCACAACGCATTGACTTCCTGTCCCTTAGATTCACTTTGTCTTGAACGGCTATGTATGTAACCCAAAACGTTATTCATACCAGTTCAGGTAATGCTGAAAGTCTTTAACCCTGGAACAGCATAGAGCTGTTTTTTCTTTAAGAGGACAATTTAACTGAGGCACCTGAAAAGACTCAGAAAGCCTAAAGCAGTGGTTCTTAACCTGTGGGTCCCCAGGTGTTTTGGCCTACAACTCCCAGAAATCCCAGCCAGTTTACCAGCTGTTAGGATTTCTGGGAGTTGAAGGCCAAAACATCTGGGGACCCACAGGTTGAGAACTACTGGCCTAAAGTTAACTCAGGCATTTTTCTAGTGCTGCAGCTAATGTAGCAATATAATGTGAATCCTGGCCCATTTGCTTTATCATGCCTGTGATAATAGCTGTCTTCATCTGAACAACTTTCAAATTTTCCCTTCTTTTTCATCTATTGAACTTTTTTCAAAGATGGGCATCTCTTCTTGGCAAGCTGTGCTCAGGATTGTCTGATAAGGCTCTGGAAGATGCATGTTACATCATCACTTGAGGAAATCCAAGATGAGGACATCATTAGGTTGAAGGAGAACATTTTCACTGCAAGAGATAATGGCGGTAAGGCTGTACTCCTTGTTTTGTGGTCAGTTTTCCTAAGGTTCAGTGGAATTATTTTCACTAGAATCTAAAGGAACTTTTTTGTTTTTGAGATTTGCTGTGTTTAAAAAAACATTCCCAACTGTACTAGGAACTGAGCTAAAATAGGTCAGGTTTTTCTAAGTGCTTTATTTTAACCAACCAACTGTCCCATACTCTGCCATGGAAAATTGTTGTGAAATGGGTTACTTTTCTACAAATAACCCATTTCACCAGGATGGTATGAAAAACATGATATTCTTCTCAATCTTATGAAATATATTGGAGACTGCTTTCTTTCTGAAAATATTTTCTCTTTTCATATGGCACTCCATTTTCTTAATATGTGGAAAATGCACCAAATACTGTGCATGTACAAAAGTAATCCTTGACCACCACATCTGCTCAGTGATGTATGGATAGTGTACATTTTATTTTAGAAATTTCTGCACTGGTGAATTTTTAAAACTGGATACCTCTTCACAATTAACTTCATAACTGTATTGCCCATGCTTTTCATTCAAAAGCATGATTAATGTCAAAAAGGGAGGTGTAGGTCAAAGTTGGGTTTTTACTCACATCTGAAAATGAAAATTCATATGCCACAAATGCTAAAACCTTTTTATTCAAATAGGCTTTTAAAGATTAAGGTGTTTACGATCTAGTCAGGAGATGTTATGGTTTTTAACTTTGAATATGTTTGATGGATTTTAACTGAATTTTAAAATATTGTTTGTGTTTAATTCTGTTTTAATGTTTGTATATTTGCATATTTTAAATTGGATACCAATGCTTTTATGTCAAGCCGCTTTGAGTCCCCTTTGGAGAGATAAAGCATGGTATAAATAAACATAATAATAATAATAATAATAATAATAATGATAATAATAATAATAATGATAATAATAATAATCCAGCTGATTTCAGGGAAATATCAATAGATGTTCTCATATGGAGCTGCCTAACAGCATGGTATTATTATTACTGTATTTCATACATAGTGGATCGTAATGCTGCTTATCATAATAGCTTTGTATATTTTAATACTCTTTTTTGCTTTGCTTTGCGGTAGGTTCAGAGATATCTTTTGCTGTCACACTGGACTCTGTCTTAGCTGGACATGAAAACTGGGTCTATGCTGTCCATTGGCAGCCTTCCTTTGTCAAAGGTAAGAAGTTATGCAAGCTTGAATTTAGGTTACAGGTGGATATGCCCAAGACATGGGCCTGCCATTGAAAATTATAACCTTATGCGGACCTCTCCCTCTCCTCTAGAATGGCAATTGGTGAGGTGGAATGGCGTTTGGGTATGGGAGACGATATTGTCATTTGACACCTATCCATTACCTCAAACTGAGCATGGGATGTTGGCCTTCTGTTTTTGTTCCGCCCTCTTTTGTATAATTTAATATATGGCTCAGGTCTAGGTTACTTGAAGGACCATCTCTCTCTCTCTATGAAACTCTTAGAAATCTATGATCATCTGTGGAGGGCCTTTTCTCTGTTCCACCTCCCTCTCAAGTGTGTTTAGTGGGAGCAAATCACATGGCCTTTTGGTTTCTCCCAGGCTTTGGAACTCCCAGACCAGGATGACCCCACCTCTGCCTGCCTTTTGCAAGCAAGTTAAGACATTTTTTTGCCATCAAGCATTTGGGAGAGGTGTTGGAAGTGGGATTTGCGGGGGGGGGGGGGGGGGGGGGGGGATATTCAAATGTAGTTTTAATTGGATTTTTATTATATCCTAACTATATTTTAACATATTAATTGTACTAATATTTAATTGTTTTTTAAAATTTTGTATTTACCATGTTTTTATATTTCTTGTATTGTGTCACATTATTATAAACCAACTTGAGTCCCTATGGGATAAAGTCAAGATAGAAATAAAGCTCATCATCATTATAATCTCAGCAGTGCTGTGCTGTCATAAGGAATAACTGTCCTCATTGCATTTCTTCTATATGCTGCAGTAATTCAGCCAAAGCTTGGGAAAAGTGCTGTTTTAGACTATGGCTACCATTATCCCCCAGCTAGTCTGGCCACCTCTCACAGTAACTAGGAAATACTGAGAACTCTATTCTAAAAAGTGATTTTAACAAGCTGTGGTTTATTTGTGTTTTATTAGCTTCTTGTGCATGTAGTAAAGCAACACGTTAGGATTGATGCAGAAGTAATGTGGAATGTTGTTCTCAGGTTAGGTCTACTAATGTTTGAAATCAGTGCTACGGTTAGGATTTTAATGAGTTTGGCCCATCTGTTGGAATTTTAACTTTAAATTGGAGAGGACATTGATCTTCAGCAGTGCTACATTAGCAACAAATCATAGAAAGCTATGATCTTGTGTTTTTTTTTAACATGAATATCTGACTATAGTTTCAGTGAGTGCATCCAGGATCCCTCAACAAGCAAGATGGGGCCCACTGTTGATGATTTCATTGTGCATCTGTGGTGTTGTTTTCATCTTCTTTCTCTTTCCAAAAGATTGGCATAGCTGTGCCAATACAACCCACCTTAAGAGAGATCTCATCCTGCAATTAATCAGTCAATGGGTCACGATTTCCTATCCAGAGACCAAGTGAATCATGCAGTGGACCAATCCTGATTATGACTATCCTTGCTACTATTTTTCCTCCTTCATGATTGGAGCTGAATTAGTGCAATTTGGAAGCTGTAATCAAGGAAACATCCATTTGCAAGGATGACTTTTTAAAATAATAAAAATGCAAATGTACAATATCTAGTACTTAATATATTTTGTCCCTATTGCCTATTTGGAATTGCAAGTAGATATTTATGCTGTCTTTGGCTCTGTACAGTTTGTTCCAAATTGTAGCTTTATCTTATAAGTCATTTGCTTTCCTTTGTACATTCAATGTTTGATAAAAAAAATACATGTTAACATTTTATACATGGGTAAATGTTTTCTTTGCACTGTAGATGGCAGAATGGAACAGCCAATGCGGCTCCTGTCTGCTTCAACAGATAAAACTGTGATCCTGTGGGCTCCGGATGATGAATCTGGGGTGTGGTTGGAACAGGTAAAAATGCTTTTTTTATTTTCCCATTTGCATTTCTGCCCATCCTAGAGAATCTGAAGTCCAAACCAAAAAAGAATTCATGAAAGAAAGAATTTAACCACATCAGATTGTTTCTTTAGGATAAAGAGAAACATTCTGCAGTATTTCAAAGGACAAACAACTGAGCCTTAAAAACAAAATTGTAGTGGTATCGATACATAATGTTGTAGATATGTTCATACTGTATGTACATGTGATCAGATGTTTGTCAGAATCCCTGTTCTCGTTTTAATTCTTGAGCTGTAGCTATGTACAAGAATCCTCGTAAGTTCAAGGTACAAATAAATTTCAATCTATATGTTGCTGAATAAGCATATCAATATTTGTGTGACTAGATTAACACATGATCACTTTATGTCAGCATTAAAAATGCAGTTCTATGCATTTTTCATGGAGCACCACTTTTTTTGTTCCTAATAAGTTTCAGTGGAAAATGTTTTATATATCAGTTTTGACTTGAGAGACGAAAGATACTCAGAGAAACATTCAAGTAAACAAGCAAACCTAGATAAAATAATGAACCCTGCCTTATCTTCAAATCTAAGTAGTGTCATCTAGAAATGGAAATGTCTGGGAGAAAAAACCAGAAAAATTGTGGAAAAAATGGGACCCCCCCCCCCCCCCCAATTTTATGATTTTTCCCCCCATACCTTAGGCTTGTGTACGGATTCGGAGTGGTCGATTCCCTTCGGCCAATCCAGCTTGTTCAGCTTGGCTGGATGGCCGTAATGGTAAGGGCTCAGCTGTCACGTTTTTCGTCCATTATTGGACCACGTGGCAGCTGATTATGGCTCCTCCTCCCCTATTCGGCACCACATGGTGCAGAAAGGCTGCCGCGTACTTGTCGCATGGGGTTTCCCTGTGAGCCCTGCCTGTTGGGCCAGTCAGGATAGACGTACGCAGTGACATGTCTTACGCAAGCTGTGTCTTAGGAAAGGGTCCCAGGAAGGGTGCTTCCTTAACCTTGTTCTTCAAATCCAGACTCCCTTGAAAGGAAGAAAGGAAAGGATCCCAGGAATGGAAAGGGGAGCCTCGTAAGTTTCCCATTCCCACCAATGGGCCGGATCTTCCCCGATCTTTCAGCTGTGGACTGGAAACAGCTATTTGGTAACCCACCCATTTTCAGAAGGCTCGCAAAAATGGATCCTTGGGTCTCCTGAAATTTGGCCAGCAGAAACGGATTGAGGTTCAGCCGAAATGCACAAGCCTACTTCCTATTTCAAATGTCATTGTTAGTTAGTGTTTGGATGGATGGCTGCTAATGAATAATAGTTTCTGTGGACTATATTTTAAACTAGAGCAGTGGTTCTCAACCTGGGGTCTCCAGATGTTTTTGGCCTACAACTCCCAGAAATCCTAACAGTTGGTAAACTAGCTGGGATTTCTGGGACTTGTAGGCCAAAAACATCTGGGGACCCCAGGTTGAGAGCCACTGGACTAGAGGAAGAAACTGACCTTGTTAGTTTTTCTTGGCTAAGAAAGCTTTATTTATTTATTTAAAACATTTTCACCCCGAAAGGGACTCAGGGCGGCGCACAGCATATATACGGCAAACATTCGATGCCGGGACACAAATTCTTATATAAATACATAAACATTAAAAACATTTATCAAAATATTAAAATACACCATTTAAAACCATCCTAGTCATCCACGTCAAATCTAATTGGCCTGGTAATCTTTTCTATGGTTGCTTTATTGCCCTATGAAAGACATGGAGATATGATACGTTGACAAGAAGCTTGAAGGTGCACAGACACAAGACAGCAGAGGCAGGAGATAGATTGAGATCCTAAATAGCACTCTGATTTACTGAATTTGTTATTATTTCTTTCTTTTTGTCTTTTTCTTACATGAATTCTTGTCATATTTGCATTTGGCTTTTGTTAGCTGCCTGTTACGCTCGTTTTTTATTCTGAGTTTCTTGTTTAGCCAAGCACTTCTGTAGTACTCCATGCACTTCTGTAATCTTTTAAAAAGGCCACTGAGGTTCAAGGTTATTGCTGCACTCCAACATGGACTGGAAGTAACATTTGTTTACTGGAAAGCATCACTTGCAGGTTGGGGCCCAGTTTTGTGAATCCATACTCCTGGGTCCTCCAGAGTGATTTTCTGCTATGTATCCCTTTTTGGCATTTGTCGTGACTTTCCAGCATGTGGACATGTAATCTATGGCTGTGTCAGGGACTAGAGAGATTATAATTATGGTCCAAAATGATCAATCATGGTTCCAAGGGAAATAGCTTGTGTTATCCATGACCCGTGTCACTGTAAATGCAACAATAACAAAAATTTGGTTCTAAAGCTGAATAGGGAAGCAGGATAAATTGGTTTCTAAGGCTGGGTTCTAATTTGCAGACCACCAGGTTTTGGAGGCAGGCAGTGTTCCATCTGTGTTGGGCCCTTCTGATGAGGTATTACATTAAGCTGATTAGGCATTGTTTCGAGAAAGACTCTCTGTTATAACTGTATTGCAAGCTGCCTGTTAGCTTGGCAAGCAATCCCGTGAAGTAAATTTAAATATTCAGATACAGTGCTGTAAAATATGCTGAAATAGATTTCTTCCCACTCCTTGAAAAACCATAATGGTGTTTTAATAGTTTCTCGTTTCTTTTTCTGTGTTTTTAATATGTCAACATGTGTCTTGAAAAGAAACTGAATCAATCATTTCATGTCTCTCCAAAAAGACTATTTTTTGTTTTTATTCTAAATGTAATTTATAGATGAGAGTTGGTTTTCTGCTAAGGCTTGAATTAGTGCAAAGAAAGGTGGTGATGGACTCACATATTTTGTATCTGATTTTCCAAAAAGGTCCGAGTGGGAGAAGTGGGTGGAAATACACTTGGGTTTTTTGACTGTCACTTCAGCCCAGATGGCTCAATGATTCTTGCTCATGCGTTCCATGGAGCCCTGCATCTTTGGAAACAGAAAACAGAAAACAAGGCAAGCCAATTTATGTCTACTACTAAATGGGATAATGAGCACTAAATATCTTAGTATGGGAAATTCTTTCTTTTTGACAGTTCGAAACAGAGTTAGATATTCATTCAGCACACTCACTTTAATTTGTGTCATAGTTACTTGTGAACAAGATGAAATAAACTTAAACTTATATGTGGCCAGGGTTTGCCTCTCAAATAGTTTAGTCAACTTATTAATGTGTGAAGTTGCCTTTATTCAGAGTTATTGTACGTGTGTTATGTTTGTATGTATGAAGGTGGGCTGTTTTGCTCCACCTCAAAACTGGAATTTTTAAAATGTATTTAAAATTCATGTGCAGGTAAATCACATTTTTTAATGGACTTAATTGGGGGCTCTTCCACACAGCCCTATATCCCAGAATATCAAGGCAGAAAATCCCACAATATCTGCATTGAACTGGGTTATCTGAGTCCACACTCAGATAATGGGTGTGCTTCCCTTGCATTTCCCCTATAACCCTCTCATGATCAAAGTCTATCCTTTAGCAGAGTTGTTTTTTCTTATATAACTTTTAAGTAGCAATTCACTAACATTCTTGTCTTGGGGAAAGGGGTCCAGGGGGCAGTTCCATCTTGTCTCCTGCATATGTCATCTGTTGAGGACCCCTTCCCCCAGCACCAACTGCTGCTCTGGGCCAGAGTGAAGAGAGAGGGGGCCAGGGGACAGTTCCACTTTGTCTCCTGTGCTATACTAATAATATAATATAATATATTGTATATACATATTATATTTATAATATAATAATATAATACAATATAATACTAATAATATTATGTTATAATTATATATTTTATATTACATGTAATATTACTAATAATATTACAATAAAATGGTATAGTTCAATACAGTAATATTTAATACTGATATTGTACTATGCTAATAATATATATTGTATGTATATATATCTTGTAAGCCGCTCTGAGTCCCCTTCAGGGTGAGAAGGACGGTATGTCATGAATAAATACATTTTCTGCCTTGATATTCTGGGATATAGGGCTGTGTGGAAGGGTCCTCGGTTCCTGGAAGGCAAACCTGACCCTCAAACCCATTGATGTTGCCCAGCTTTGATCTGTGATCTGTTTTGCATTGATGTGATCCCTATATCTAAGAGATACCTTTTTGGCTCAACCACGGGCTCTTAACATGAATGCTCTTGATTTAAAAGGGAGAGTGGATCCCACAAGTGGTGATTTCAGGACATTTCAGTGGTGTGCAAGATGTGAAATGGGATCCAGAAGGAGAATTTATCATTTCTGTTGGCTCGGACCAAACCACAAGAATCTTTGCTCCATGGAAAAAAGGGAACAAAGAAGAGGTGAGTTTCTGTTTTGCATAGGAAGATACATTTACCCTATATAATATGCGAAATATTTACAGAGGTGAATCTCAAATTCTCAGTACTTTTTTGTCCAGTGCTGCAATCTGTAATTTGGTATTTTGATATTATCACAATATCATCGACATGTAAAAAATAGTTATTGAACTAAAAGCAGTTGTTTCCAAAGAATGTTTTTTTATTTGTAGACTTCCCTTTGTAGATTTAATTCTGTTGTTGTTTACGTAGCATTTGGTGTTCTATCCTGTTTTCTTTTTTTACTCCTGAATAAAGATATTTAAAGAGAAACGTCTCTAAAGAGAAATTTTGAACCAGCATAATAATAATAAATAATAAAAACTTGATTTATATTCTGCCCTATCTCCCCAAGGGTACTCAGGGTAGATTCCAATGGGAAAAAAGACAAACATTCAATACCTTTATAAGATCATAGGTGCAAATGCAATCCACACAGAATAAACCAGACATCTAAAAACAAATTAAACACACAAACCTAAATTTAAATAATAACATAACTTAAAAATTAAATTATATCTAACATAAAAACATACACACAATGTGTTAAAATGACCAAGTTTCATTTACAGTATTTAATGTAAAGATTCGTTGAATGGAACTGAGCTCAGAACGGGTTAGGATATTTAACTTTTTGTTGAAATCTCTGTTCACTTTCCATGAATGGCTTTTTTTCTACAACGGACATTACAATAGACTGCAAGACAGGAATATATATAAATATACATTGTCGTTTTGTTAGGTATCGTGGCACGAAATGGCAAGGCCTCAAGTCCACGGGTATGACATGCAGTGCCTAGCAATGATTGGAAGGTTTCAATTTGTATCTGGAGCAGATGAGAAGGTTCTTCGTGTTTTTACTGCGCCCAGAAATTTCATTGAAAACTTCAGCAGCCTTTCTGGTATATCTCTGGAGAAACTGTGTTCTGGTGTAAGTGTGTATTTACTTCCTTTCTGAACTATAAATGTAGATCCCTATATGAGACAGCAGTATTCAGAACATATAGAAGTGCCACTCTGAGTCAGATCATTGGTTGGTCAAGCAGAGCCTACTGCCAGAAAGGAACAACTTGCTCTTTTGTTTCTTTTAGACACATATGCGACTTTGTAGGATGGAACTCTCTGACATACAAGGGAATCAAAGCTAGTAAGCTATCTTAAATGTGTAGTTTTGAGACAGAATATTGATATTGGATTTTTCTAATAATAACTTTTTTATAAGAACTGTTTTGAGCTAACTTGGTGAAGGCAGGAAGCTTCTGATCTTCCCAGGTATATAATCCTGTGGCTGAAGATTGCCATCCTAGATAAACACATCCCAGCCTTCTTAGTTGTCAAGAGATAACATGTATAGCAAGTTTTAGTTTTATAGTTCATGATTTATCAAGATGAAAGCCATGGCAAGGCTTCTTGTTTAAAGAGTCTGAAAGAAACATGTTTATAAGTGAGAATAGAAGTCCGGGTACTTATGTGTAATTTATTTTATGTGTACTTATGTTACTTTTTAGCAAATGATCAATCTTCCAGAAGGGGCTACTGTACCAGCCTTGGGTTTGTCCAATAAGGCTGTGTTTCAAGGTAAGATGCTTCTGTCATGTTAACTGATCAAAAGCTTCTTTGTTTCAGAGGGCATCTACACAGGCCACAAATGGGGATGTTAATCTGGAGTGAAGTACTCTAGATCAGCATTGCCAATCCCCAAGCCGGCTGTCCACACTGTGTGACTCTCAGTCATCCCAGCAGCTGGATGGTGACAGGTTTTGTTTTGTATTTGTTTGTTTTTTGTCGTGTCAGGAGAGACTTGAGAATCTGCAAGTCATTTCTGGTGTGAGAGAATTGGCTGTCTGCAAGGACGTTGCCCAGGGGACGCCCGGATGATTTGATGTTTTATCATCCTTGTGGGCGGCTTCTCTCATGTCCCTGTATGAGGAGCTGGAGCTGGAGCTGATAGAGGGAGCTCATCCTCCTCCCCCCGGATTTGAACCTGCGACCTGTCAGTCTTCAGCCCTGCCGGCACAGGGGTTTAACCCACTGCCCCACCGGGGAATCCTATGGTGACAGGTGGTGCCACTGGACAACCACTCTTACCTTGTCCCCATCTTTCTGGGTTTTATGGTGACACCTGGTCACAAAAGTGGTGGTGGTCACCACTCAGTGTCATAGTGTAACATGAAAGAGGAGAGAAGGGAAAAGAGGAATTATTATCTTCTTTCCCCGCTGTCTTCTCCAGTCTCCCTGTTGCTCTGACTACCATTAGTACAGGCAGCAGGCAGCGTCCTCTGCTGTTTCCATGCCCAGCAGTTACCACAAAACCTTAAACGAGGAAGGTAACTGCCACCACTGAAAGTAGGATAGCAATGTGAATGGTAACAGTCACTTCTGAATTTTAACTACAGTTTGTTTCAGACAAGCCAACTTCAGATTATAGGTTATGAAAGTATTTCAGTAAACCATAGTTAAGATTAACCACAGTCTACAGTTATACAGCTAAACTAGGAGTATTAAAAAATGTAGTGGAAGATTCCTGAGGCTTGTCTCTGTTCATTAATAAAGTGCTTTCTTGTGATATCCAAATATATCTATTCTCCTTATCAGTTTTGTTTTAGATATGTACTGTTCAGGCATACAATAATAAAGAGTTATATTTGATTTGGAATGTTGTTTTCTTGTAGTCACTGCACTTCAGATTAGATAGATCAAGACTGGAGTTCCTGTTGCCTTCTCAGTGTCTTTGGGCTGTAAATCCCATCAGCCCTAGCCATCATGGCCTGTAGTTGCTGAAGTCCAACAAAATGTAGGCCACAAGATTCTTCCATGTGGGTGTATCTGCCTGTCAACTGAATTTCATTGAGTTTTCCTAGTCATGGAATACTTAGGTGTCATTTTGCCAATTCCCTGTTGTGAAATATAGTCTACAGCACCTGGTGTCTATTTGTGATCTCTCATCCAAGTACTAACCAGAGCTGATTCAACTTAACTTCCAAGCTCAAACAGAATTGCTCAAGAATAAGAAACTTTGGACACTGTTAATACATTCTAAGGCAGATTCCTCTTCCTTCAGAAATTGTTTGTTTTTTCAGTTCTTTCCATGATTATCTTGGTTACAACTCTTTCTGTTCCACAAAGTAACTTAGCAACATGATCTACTCAGTGGTAAGTCTTGTTTAGTGGTAATTATTCCCTTTTTTCGTGTCAGTAGCGACACGAAAACTGCAAGTTGCTTCTGGTGTGAGAGAATTGGCCGTCTACAAGGACATTGCCCAGGGATGCCTGGATGTTTAATGTTTTATCATTCTGTGGGAGGCTTCCTCCATGTCTCCACATACAAAGCTATAGCTCGACAAATGAGAACTTACTCCACTCCCTGAATTCGAACCGCCAACCTGTTGGTCAGTCAGTCTGTTGGCACAAGGGCTTAACCCACTGCGCCATCAGGGGCTCCTAATTATTCCCTGAAGTGTATCTTCTCCAATCTGATGACTTTCAGGTGGTAAAAAGTTTGTGAACAGGACTGTGGCATGCAGCTATTATAGTGTGTAGTTTTTTGTGTTGATAAATCTGTTGGTAACCCAATACTCTTGCGATGAACTATTGGTCATACAGTTCATGTGGTTATCAGACTTCAGAAGCACTTGTTCATAAGTTCCTTTAATGGTTCATTTTGTGCACTGTGGTTACTATCTAATTATTTCAGTGCATAGCCTGCCTTCCTATTTATACTTGGATCTTAACAAAGCAGATGATGACAGGCTGAATGGAGGAGTGCCTGAACTTAGGTGCTACGTGTTCCCATGCTGTTCCGATCTAGGAGGAACCCATGCGTTTTTCTGAACTCAATTTGTGAACACAATTGGTTAAAGTATTTGAGTGTCACACTTCATGACTCACACCCATAGTTGATGGTTTGGTAAAATTATTCTGTTGTGTGTATTTTAAGCTTTTCTTTTTTTGAATGATCGCCTTTCCTCTATTAATATATTTAGTGCAATTGTTATGAAACTGCAGGCTACATTTCACACAGAAATAGATCTAGAGAGCTCATCTTGGGATGCTAGAAAAGGCAGACTTATAAGTTTGTTTGTTTTTTTTACCATTTTGCCCTGTTCATTTCCTTTATTTTTTTAATTAATTTTTTATTGAAAGAATATATAATTACAATGAAAGTGGGGGAATATAATGTAGATAGAAAAGTAGGAAATGAGAGGAAACAGGAGAAAAAAAATACAACAACAATAATAAAATTCTTTATTATTAATAAAGTCTTTATATAATTATTTCTATGTTTTCTTTTCTAAGGTAATCTTTTACTATAGTCCAGTCTATCTGGAGTTTCCTTCTCTGTTGAGGTGTTGCCATTAGGTTAGTCGGTCTGTCCATGTTCATAATCTCTATCAATTTCAATAACCATTGGTCCATTGAGGGTATTTCTTCATTTATGGCAAGCATCCTCAGAGGTAGTGAGGTCTGTTGGAACTAGGAAAATTGGGTTTATATAATTGTGGAATGTCCAGAGTGGGACAAAGAGCGCTTGTCTGTTGGAGCTAGGTGTGAATGTTTCAACTGAGCGCCTTGATTAGCATTTGATGGCCTGGCAGTTTTTTGGTGTGGCTTGTTAGTGCTTGGGGGAATCTTTTTTTATCAGGAAAGAATGCCTATAGAACATGGTCATATAGCCCAAAAAAACCAACAACAACCTAGATTATTCTCTTTGAACTGGATTATATGGCAGTGCAGACTCATATAATCCTGTTAAAATAAGATAATCTGGATAATTTGCTTTAATCATCTGGATTACATGGCAGTGTAGAAAGGGCCTTAATCTTGCTATCAAAAGCTAATTAGGTAATGAGCTACTTGTCCATTTTTAAAGACGTGAAAATTATAGTTGTTCCTTCCTGGTTAGTATTTCTTAGCAATTCTATAATTAGGTATTGTTTAATTGCTGATTTAAAAACAATGTGATTTTTTACAGCTGAAGATACAGCAGTTCAAGCAACTGAAGATGAAGAACAACTTAGTAATGCTTCCAGTCAGTATCGTGAGAATTACTTTCAACCATGTAGTCTAGCAGGTATGCAGCACATCAAAATGTAGAATGGAATGTATGGGGCTTTTATTTGAGAAGGTAGATAAAGGAGGGGAAACCTGTTGTAAAAAAACCCACAATAATTTGTTATTGCTGTTGTGTACTTTTGGCTATTTCTGACTTCTGCTCACTGTAAGGCTAACCTATCCTGGGGTTTTCCTGGCAAGATTTGCTCAAAGAAATCTTCCCCTGAGGCCCCTTTCTACATTGCCATATTCAAAACAGATAATCCACATGATCTACTTCGAACTGGATTATATGAGTCTATATTGCCATATAATCCAGTTCAAAGCAGATAATCTGGATTTTATATGGCAGTGTAGAATGGGTTGTATTCCAACATCCAAACCATTGACACCACACTGTCTCAGGAAAACATTAACTCAGTTCTAAACCAATTTCTTCCAGAACCTCCCACAGAAGATCATCTCTTGCAGAACACACTGTGGCCTGAAACGCAAAAGTTGTAAGTTGCTTGGTCCATAATTTTTGAAACCGTATACTCTCTCTTTTTAAAAAAAATGTGATTTTCATATGTGCAAATTTACATTAAGAAATTCACTGTTCAATATGCATTATAAATTTTTCACTAACATTATGGTGCAGTGTTTGAAGAACCTCCTATCATCTTGGATCAAAGACGAACAGATGGGCTTCTTGCCAAATAGGAACATAAAAGAAAGCATGAGGAACATATTAGATGTAATAGAATATTACGAAACCCACAGCCAAAAAGAATGAGCAATTATGTCTATAGATGCTGAAAAAGCATTCAACAATCTAAATTGGGACTTTTTCACGATGTTACTAAGAGAAATGGATGCAGGATATTATTTTCTGAATGCAATTCAAGCAATATATGAAGAACAGGAGACCAACATATGGCTCAATGGTCGGAAGGTCAACAAAATAAAGGTAGAAAAAGGAACAAGATAGGGATGTTCTCTTTCCCCTTTAATCTTCATCCTAGCATTGGAACTGCTATTGAACAATCTATCTTTATTCTCATAAATGGCCTTGGTTATTTCCTTGGCTAAAATGCACACTTCATTAAAATCAAGTTCAAGATTTCTTCTAGTTTATCCTACCAACAGTCTTGGTACACGTAGGTTTTGGGAGAGAGGTTTTGGAGTTGGGTCTTTAGTCCTAACGACATGGAGATAAAGACAATGCTTAGTATCTGATCTGTGTGTGATATCCAGTATTCTACATCACCTACTTAGTTAAATTTCCTTAAGTGCAGGCAGGGTGGACCACTTTCTCCCTATGGAGCTGATCCTCAATAAATTAGATGGTGGTTGTTGGGATTCAGCCTGTGTGTGAACTTGAACCTGACTCTCTGATTGTATTTCCTGATGCTCATGTATTTCCTGATGCCCATGTGAATTCTGAGGCTAGTTTAGATGATGATGAAAATCCTACAGCCTTGGAAAGCGAAAGTCAAGATTCCCATGAGAACATACATTCCAGGCCAAGCGGAGATGGTTCACTCCCTTTTCCTCCCAGTTTTAGCTCTCCAGAGAATCAGGCACCTGGCCTGCCTAATGAGGATAGGTGGGGGCAGATTTGGCAGAGTCGGGGAGAAGCCCAATGTTTACGCAGGTCAGCCAGATTGAAAGAAATCCAAACAAAATCTTCAGGCGTGTCTCGCAATAGATTTCTTGGCCTTAAATATGCCTGTTCTGAATCCAGCTTCAGACCAGGCATCGTTCCAGATTCATGTGCCAGCATTTGCAGGTCTCCTGATCCAAGTAACCTTGTTCCTCGGAAGTTTTCTAGTTGCCCTAAGTATGGTTAGTGATTTGCTAACAGGTTCCAGGATTCAGGTTTCATGATCTTGTTTATGGACATTTCTTGTTGCTGATTTTTACTGTGGCTTTTTACCTTTGCATTTTTCCTCTATTTTGTATTCATCTTTCATCAATAAAAAAGGATTGTTTTCCTGAAGCCAAGCATGGTGGATTGTTGTCTGAGGGTCCAGTTTCCTGCTCTGGGTTGCAACAGTGGTGATGAGTCCACCACACTCTGAGGCAACATATTGTACCATGCAGAACAGCCTCTACTGTACAAAAGTTCTTCCTAATGTTTGGATGGGATCACTTTTCCAGTAGTTTGAATCCTAGCCACAGGGCATGGTTTTCAGTTTTTTTTAATTATTTTTGTTGTCCTTCTGTGGACACATCCCAGCTTATCAGTATCTTTCTTGACTTGTGGTACCCAGAATTGGGAACAGTATTCCAGGTATGGTCTGACCAAAGCATAATTGAGTGGTACTGATGTGCCTCCTAGATATTAGAAATGAATAAAAGGCTGGTTTTGTGAGAACAGTGTCTTTAGAAATGACAGGGCATTTCAATCATAGTTGTTTGTTTCATGGAGGAATTGTTTCCTCAGATAAAATAAATGTTTATATAAGCATAGGATTTGTAGTCTCTCAGTAGGCAGCTGGAGGTATTTTTTTTTTGCAAGGTCCATAGAAAGGTTCTGTAAAGCCCACGTTCTGGAATGGTTCCCAGCGAGCTCATTTTTCATTCTCCTTTCTTTTTACCTTTTTGTTTTTATATTCCCAGTCGCTTTAAAGGCATTTAAACAGAGGCAACACACTTTGGAAAGTGTGCCGGTTTTCACACTCTGTCATCCCTGGCAGGCTGAAGATGGCATGTTTGTGAGCAGTTTGGCTCTGGTGAATCTGAGCACATGAACCTGGAAATATTCATAGGGAGATAAAATTGTTGCATGATTTACTCTAGCCTTTTTCTTTTTCTTTTTTACAAAAAGGACATGCCTACAGTTCTGTACAATTTCTAACTAATTAAACTGAATGCAGACTGTGAAACATGGTCTGAGTTAGTTTCCCCATCTCTTTTTGCAATTCCCAAGCAGGCATCAAAATAGTACTGTTGTCAAGATGCTGAATTGTTGATTTGTAAGTCAAAAGTCATGCAATTGAACCATGACAAGAGCAAGATTTGTCATATAACAATGCTTCTTAAGCTAACTGGGGGCATTAGACAAGCTGGGATTTTGTTTTCCATGTGCCAGGGATTGGCACCATCTTTATGTCCAGTGGTTAGCACTCTTTCTTTGGGTTTTTGTGAGTTTTCCGGGCTGTATGGCCATGTTCCAGAAGCATTCTCTCCTGATATTTCGCCCTCATCTATAGCAGGCACCCTCAGAGGTTGTGAGGTCTGTTGGAAACTAGGCAAGTGGGTTTATATATCTGTGGAATGTCCAGGGTGGGAGAAAGAACTCTTTTCTTCTTGAGGCAAGTGTGAATGTTGCAATTGGCCACCTTGATTAGCATTGAATGGCCTTGCAGCTTCAAAGTCTGGCTGCTTCCTGCCTGGGGGAATCCTTTGTTGGGAGGTGTTAGCTGGCCCAGATTGTTTCCTGTCTGCATAGACTTTAGATTGACATCTTATTCAAATAGTTTCCTCCAAGTAGTTATTAACTGAAACACAATCGCGCCATTTAGTCCAATATTACTTGTTCTGATTGGCATGACTTTCTCAGCCTTTCTACCTCATTTCTAAAAACCCAACAACACCCCAGTTTCTGAATTGTATAGTGAAGTTATGATTGTTCCAGTGATTCAATCTTGCATTTATTAATCTAAAAACTTTATGAATGCCATCCAGAAATACCCTATGGCGGGGTCAACATGGGATAGAGATTGAGATAATTACAATTAAGTAGTGACTATTGCCTGATTCTCGGAGTGGTCTGTAATAGCCAGAGGGGAAAAAAAGCAAGGAAGAAAATTACACATTTTTTCAAAGCAGTAAACTCTTTTTAGTGTTTCACAGAATGTTTCCCTTGCTTGAGCTTAACAGTGGAAAATAATTGGGGGATATATTTTTAGTAGAAGGCACAGTAGAATCCTAATTTGAATTATATTACATTTCATAATGGTACCTGAAGCTGTTAATTGTCCTGTTCTTCTGACTCAGCACCCTCCAGGCATTTTTGGACTACAATCCCCATTAGGTTCAGCTAGCATGGTCAAGGAGGCCAAGACCTATGGCTCAATGTATGTGTAGGGCATTGGGTTAGGCTGTATAGTGCCTGTGTTGTCGCATACACGTTACTTTAAATGTCTTTAGCATTGACATGTCCTAACTTCCTATTATCTTGGGGGATGCTGGATTGCCTTCCTTTTTGAGCAAGGAACCCCACAGAATCAATGTCCACTCTGAAACGTCAGTGTCTCCTGAAACGTCAGGAGAGAATGCTTCTAGAACATGGCCATATAGCCCAGAAAAACCTACAACAACCCAATGTCCACTCTGTTGCTTTCAAGAAATGGTAATGATTTATTAACTGGTTTTGGGTCTATTTCCAACCAGGCACTAATTTGAGAGAGCAGGTCTCTCCTATTGAGGCTTGGCACCTTGCTGAGAGTGCTGGAAACTCCACAGGCTGCTACTGTCCAACAGTAGAATAGTATAGTTGAATGAGTTCCCCGAATAGTAGTTAGTATTGGCTTGAAATTTCTTGTCCAGGCCTGGATATTGCTGGGACCAACTATAGACACGTCTTGCTTCCAAGTTTCCTTAGTGGTAATAACTCTCATCTAAAGATGGCTCCCTTCCCCCAGGCAAATTTATTTATTTAGAACCTTTGTATCCCGTTCTATTCTCGACCTCCAAAGAGGGACTCAGGACGGCTTCGAACAATATAAAAACACCAATAAATACACAATTACATAAAATAAATATACATTTAAAAACAGTTCGCCAAATTTAAAACGTCCTCCAAATCAGTCCAAAAATGCAGTCCATAAAATCTCATCTTTACCAATAAAAACCATCTAGTCTGCGAATGCTTGCTCCCACAGCCAAGTTTTAAGTGTCTTGCGAAAAGTCAGGAGGGAGGGGGCAGATGTAACCTCTTTAGGGAGGGAATTCCACAGCTGAGGGGCCACCATGGAGAAGGCCCTGTCTCTCATCCCCAGCAAACTTGACTGTGATGGTGGCGAGACTGAGAGCAGGGCATCCCCAGATGATCTTGAAGTCCTTGATGGTTCATAGGGAGAGACACGCTCAGACTGGTAAAGTGGGCCAGAGCCATTTAGAGCTTTATAGGTCAAAACCAGCACTTTGAATTGTGCTTGGAAGCTAATAGGCAGCCAGTGGAGCTTGTGTAACAAGGGAGTTGTGCGCTCCCTGTATCCCGCCCCGGTTAGCAACCTGACTGCCAAGCGTTGGACTAGCTGGAGCTTCCGGGCAGTCTTCAGAGGCAACCCCACATAGAGCGCGTTACCATAGTCTATTCAGGATATAACAAGAGCATGGGTGGACCAACTCACTACTCCAAACCAGAAAGTGTTTCCTTTAGCTTCTCCCTCATAACAGAAAAATGGCTACTCTGAAGCTCTGGGTAAGGCAGTCTTACAAAAGGAACTGGGACTTATGTGTCCCAGCACAGTGTCCAACTTATAATAATCATATATGTCTCATTGACTGC